TCTGCTTCAGCTGGAGCAATCCATTTGTTTTTCATTTAACAAAGTGACTTGGCTATTTCATTATTGACTTCACGTCATTGTCCCTTTAGGAATTCTAGACAGTAGCTGGTGTTGTTTGAGAATTTTACTGGTACTACTGCAACCATCACACAATACACCCTCAAGAGATTTTCTGTTAGGAACATAGCTATCTATGTCAACTTGGTGATATGGTTTGGATTTGTGTCCTTGCCCAAATCTCGTGTCCAGTTGTAATCCCCAATGCTGGAAGAGGAGCCTGGTGGGAAGTGATTGGATCATGGGGGCAGATTTCCTTTTTGCTGTTCTCCTGAGAGCGAGTGACTTATTGTGAGACCTGGTGGCTTAAAAGTGTGTAGCACCTCCCCCTCCTCTCTCTTCCTCCTGCTCTGGCTATGGAAGACGTACCTCCTTCCGCTTGGCCTTCACCATGATTTAAGTTTCCTGAGGCCTTCCCCAGCCATACTTCCTATAGAGCCTAAGAAACCATGAGCTAATTAAACCTCATTTCTTTATAAATTACCCAGTCTCGGGTGTTTCTTTATAACAGTGTGGGAACGACTAATACGCTTGGCTTTGGGTTAAGTTGTAAGTTAATTCCAGCATGAGCAGATAGAAAATATTTGCTTCTTGTGATAATGGAAACTGTGAGAGACAATCTGAGCTTTTATAGTCTTATGAAGACAAGACCTAGTTTTTAACTTAATCTTTGTACTCTTAAGTATTTTGCAAGTCCCTGGTAATTAGTATGTGCTTAATGATATTTATGGAGCAGATATATAAAAGTTTGTGGAAACATCATTGTGTCATTATATTACAGCCTTCAATATGTGATTGTTATTTGGTGCAATTTACAAAACTAGCATTTGTTAGACATAATTTGTGTCTTGAATTTTTTGTTGGGTTTCCAAGTAATTATTTCCCAGAAATTGCCGGGTATACATAATTACCATTGAGAATCAAGAGACAGATCAATTCTCAGATGCTGTGTGAATGCACACGTTACACACCGTCTGTATTAAAATTCATTTTAGCTCTTCTACATGAATGAATACAATTTTTGCACAATGAAGTTTACTTCTTTGGGAATGAAAATTTATTTTGATAATTCTAAATGAGAGTCATTATAAAATTCATGACTGAAACTGCCAATTCTTATTCTTTTTTATTAAGTTTAGATGTTGGTATAGTTGAAGAGTTAACAGTATTAAAATCATATAATAAAAACTGACAGTTGTTTACACTATACCTCCCTTATCCCCATCTGGATAATAGATTTCAATTACTTTTGCTCTGTAGTTAATTAGGTCTTTACTTCTAAGTATTATACTGCTTTAAAAATATATTCATTTAGGCATTATTTATTGGTTTCCTTCTATGATGAAAATTTAACTCCCTTATGTATCTTTCTCACAGTTTTTCTCTTCTTGTGCTTTTAATACGCCTGTATTGCATTTTTTGAAGTAACAGCCAGTATTTTACATATGTTCACGTCTGAACAAAGTAATGGACTCGTGACCCTTTTTGTTTTTCCTATAGTAAATTGTTGCCTCAATTTGCTATGGTTTCCTATGTTCCCATTGTTTAGAAAAATAAATAAAAATGGTAGTTACTGTTTAGATACATAAAGGTCAACCACCCAAAATTTAGGTGAAACTTAAGCTCTCCCAATTTCCCAGATTTTGTAACTCTGAACATAAACAAAATGCAAACATTACTTATTTGTCCAACAAATGTTTAAGCATTCCCATTTCTTCACAACCCCATCAGCATCTGTTATTTTTTTGCTTTTTATTAGTAGCCATTCTGACTGGTGTCAGATGGTATCTCGTTGTGGTTTTGATTTGCATTTGTCTAATGATCAGTAATTTTGAGCTTGTTTTCATAATACTCGCCTGCCGCATGTATGCAAAAGACTGCTTTTCTAGAGATTTCTGTTGCCCTCTAGGGCAGATGTTCTGTGGGACTGCCTTCTTTGTAGAATGCATTCTGGTTCTTATTTCCTAGGTCTTTTTTTCAGGTTTACTACTTCATTTTCTGAAGCAAATGCCCAAGTAACTTCTTTAGGAAAGGTGCGGGGAAGGTAAAATATTGCATGTCAGCATTTAAAAAAGTTATATCCTTACTCTTGCTGGAAGGTCTAGCTGAATATACAATTTAAATAATTTAAAGGCAGAGGTTCCCAACCTTTTGGGCACCAGGGACTGGTTTCCTGGAAGACAATTTTCCCACAGACGAGGTCAGGGGGCATTCGATTCTCATAAGGAGCGTGCAACCTAGATCCCTCGCATGCGCAGTTCACAATAGGGTCCACGCTCCTATGAGAATCTAGTGATGCTGCTGATCTGACAGTAGGCGGAGCTTAGGCAGTAATACTTGCTCACCCCGCCCCCCATCACCTCCTGTTGTGCGGTCTGGTTCCTAGCAGACCGCCCCCAGGGGATTGTGGACCCCTGGTTTAAGGTGTTTCTTTACTGTTTTTCTTCTCATTTTCCTGCTGTTGAGAATTTTTATTTTCCTTCTTTTCGTGGTCCTGTATTCTCTCTCTGAAAGCTTTTACTATTCATGATCTTTTATCTCTGCATTTTAAACCTTCACAATGACATGCTTTGTTGTGAGTCTTTAAATTTTAACTTCTGCTGGGCACTCAGGAATTTCAATTTGGAAAGTCATATCATTCAGTTTAGGAAACTTTCTTGCATATAGTTTTAAGATAATTTCACAACCTTTGTGTCTCTATTCTTTACAGAGCTGTTTTTATCCTCAAAATTTTCTGTTCTCCCTTATTTTCACCTGTCATTTGATTTTGTTTTGTTGTTGTTGTTCTTTTTCTCATGTCTTCTGGTCCTACTTCTATTTTCTTTTGTCCCCAATTTGCCCATCCGTTGAGTTTGTGGTTTTAAACATTATAAAAATATTTTTCAGATATAGAACGTATATTGATTCTTCATATCATAGGTTACAATTTCATCAAAATCTTCATCTTTTAGTCTTTTTTGTATTTTTTCTCTAGTTTTTGAACATATAACTCATAGATATTTTAAAATTATTATCTACCAATTCCAATATTATTATCTCTGTAGGTCTGCTTTTGTTTTTTATATTTTTCTCTTGATTATTGTCCCTAGGGTTCTATCCATTCACATATATAGATTGTTTTTGAATGTTAGACATCATGTATGTAAGAGCAGTGGAGAATACATATCATTTTATCTCCTTTCTTCTACTAGGCAGAGAGAGTGGGGGCTGATCTCCACAACCCAATCAGGGACATGGCCGGTTGTGCTTTGCTAATGTTCATTTGTCCCGAGCTTCATGTGTGTTCCTAGGAAAAGGACCTTGGTGACATTTCTATTGTGAGTCTGGAGGGGCTTTGTCTCCTTAAGACAAAGATGCTATGAACATTTTTCCTCTCTGTACTACTCCACAGCCTTGTTTCCAAACTTACTCCCTAGCCTCCTGCTTTGCACGGCTTCAGAAGTTGGCAAACATCTTGAGGGAAGCCTGGCTCTGTTGACACCCCCAGTCTCCAGTTTTGACATCATAGCCCCAGATGAGCAGCAGAATGTCCACTGTTTGTTTCCCGCCTCCAGCTGTGGCTTCTGCCTAAACCAAAGCCAAATTCTTAGTGGTTTGGCAAATAGCTTCAGAGAAATGTTCTGCAAATTCTCATCTCACCTTTGAACATTTCTTACCTCTCTGGACTTTATGCCTCTTTAGTCCCTGTTTATTCTGAAGCTTTCTGAAGCCTTTAACACCACCTTTTCTGTTGTAATTCTCCCAACTCTTCTGCTTGGTCTAAGCTGCAGCTTTCACTTGCTGTACGTTGTTCTATATAATTGGAAATGGAATTTCTATGTATTGGGAAGATTTTTAGGTCCAATTAAGACTAACTCGAATGTTTACATTTTGTTTCTGTCTCTCAAATATCATCTGTCTCTCTAAGATATGTCCAATTTTCCGAAAGATGCTCTATAGGGACCCTCCCACCAAACACATGCCTGTTGTCCTGTGACATACCATCTTTAATAATCTTGTCTAATGTTATGATCTGATAAACTAAATGGAAGAATCTGGGTAGAATGCTAAAGGACTTTAGTTCACACTTCTAGATTTTAGAGTTTAGTGCCAGATAGAATTTCTAGCTTCAAGCTTCCTCTTGGACCCACCCTGGCTCTTTTAGCTTCCCAGGGCTCCAGTGAGATGTAACTCAGTGGTTGCAGCCAATATGCCTCCCTAAGAAGACCCTAAAAGTCTCTCTTCTAATTTTTTGTCTTTCACTTCCATCATTCATGGAGTTAGAAATAACTACTTTCAAATGACACCCTTGAAACCTACTGTGACTTTTGGCAATACTCTGAGACTGCTTTCTTATTGGGAAAGTAGAAATAATGTACAGATCATTAACTGAAGATGAAACACAATAATTTAACCCCCAGCACAGGGCCAGGAATACAGTCAGCACTCAATAAATGCTCATAATTCCACAGTTCCTGTCCCATATGGACAAAAGCGAGGAGAGAAGAGAAGATGCATGAACGATAGACATACTGTAACGGCGCCTGCCAGTTTGGTCCATTACAAACTCTCCATATGTAAGGCAGCCCTTGATATCTCTCCCAGACTTAAGCTAAAACGGGAGGAGAGGAGGACATGGACAACAGACAGCACTTCACTAACTTGTCAAAAAGAGATTGGGCCGATGCCTTTGCCTGAGTAATTAAAATATTGACAGGAACCCAACTCTTGAGTGGTTTAAAGCCCAAGCTGAAAGCAACAAATGAGAGCAGAGGAGTTCCAGAAATTTCTCTGCTTTTTGTTTGCAGCCTGTGAACATATGGTCAGAGACGTTCTGCTCCCTTGGCTAAATCACGGTGCTAACGAAGCAGAGATCCCTGAATGAATTATTTAGCTTCTAGCTGGGGGAAAAAACAAAAAACAAAAAAAACAACAACAAAAAACCCTATGTTTTTCTTTAACAGACGATGCACCTTAAGTTGAAAAGCTGACTTCCACCTCCTGGGCAACGTGGCTCGGGGTTGTGCTCAGCTAAGACAAAACTGATGTCAACACCAGGAATGAAGGACAAATCTGTGGCTTAATGAAGGTGAGTGATAGTACCTTCTCAGATAGGTCACTGAGTACTCCTTCATTAATATCTGCGAGGACTATTTATTCCCCAAACAATATGAACCATAGCAGTACCCATAGCCTCACACATTTTTACTTGTATATATTTTTAAACCTCATAGGGGTTGGATGTGACCAGGGGTAAGGGGCTAAAGCTGGTTGAGGTACAGGGTTTACATGCTCTGGCTTTGAGATGATCTTTTGAGTTTGCCTGCAGTATGGACTTTAACTTCTATACTGTTTATCTTTATAACTGCTTTGGGTTTAGTGCTCCACCAAATACTGTAATTTGCACATCCTTTTTAGCTTGAAGACACTGAATGTAGCCACATTCTTTTATCTCATAACTTAGAGGAACAACTTGAAAGTTTATTTATAATTTTTCATTTAACTTTCTGTGTATCTTTATCAGAACAAACAAGATTTTGTGTTATTAGAACAAAGTAAGTGCAGACTAGTTCCAAGGTTCTGTCCAGGAAGGAAAAATGGAACCTTTACTTAATTTTTAATTTTTGCTTGGCTCATGTTGTCTCCACACAAAACCTGCTAAACAGCTGCTTCTTATTTCCAAGTCTCGTTATTTCCAACAAAGACCTTGGGCGAACCCATGGTTTAAGATGTAACATTTCCCAGCACATTGGAGTGAATTCTGTCACATTTGTATTACTTTTCTCAGAGTGCAAGCCACTCATTTGACTCTTTGGGGGAATTTTGGCTTGAGTTCATAGTAACTCTGTTGGGGAGACTGAGGTTCAGCTCCTAGAAACAGGACTGTGGCATTGCTTGGCACAGTTGACAAGGTGTCAGAAGTAGTCGACTTGTGGTCCTCTGGGGAGCTGACCTTGGGCATCCATCTTGGGTCTCAGTTGACCTTGTCTTAGAGGGGAATGGTGCTTGTCCACCTTGTCCAGTCTGCCTGATAAGGGTGTTATGGATGTTAATAAAGTAAACTGAGATGACTTGAATATGTGAATATGCTAAGGATAAGTAATTATTATAATTCCAGTCAATAATAGGTGGGTAATTTATCCATGGTGAGAAGAAAATGGAAAGTATTCAGGTTTATGCAAATGTGTAGTGTTAGTAATATCACTGTACATAGCACCATCTATACGGCTTGGGCTTCACATTGTCTCTATGATGGGCCTTTCCAACTCCTTCTGTATCATGTACAAGTCAGTTCTATCTTCCCACCAAGCCATGGATGACACAGGTGCCCAGACCCTTGCTGGTGATTTTCCTGGCACTTCCAATCCGACCTGGCACTTCCAAGCCTTCAAAGTCCATCTTAAATGCCACTTCTTCATTCATCTTCCTAGGTTTTCTTCTTCTTTCACTCAGAGGAGAACATTTCTTTGTCCATCAAACTCCCGTTGCAAATTGTCTATATTACCTTTACAGCTCTTACCACTTCCTGCTTTATATGAGTTATTTAAACTCTTGCTTTGCTGTTAGACCTTTGGCTTCTTAAATGTGTAAAATAAATAAACTGAATAAAAATAGAATGCACTTGCTAGAGTTAAGTCTGTGCCAGGAGCTGTGTTAAACTTCATACACTAATTACCTTGTTGAATCCTCATAATAATCCTATGCATGCGGTCCTATTATTATCTGTACTGTATAAATGAAGAAACTGACGGTGATTGAATTTAAATCATTGGTTCAATGTCACAAAATGGTTAAGTGGTAAATTCAAACCCAGGCAGTCTGTCTTCACAGTCTGTCTTAATCAGTTTGGGCTTTAATAACAGAGCTTGGTGGTGGCTTATAAACAAATGAAATCTACTTCTCACAGTTCTAGAGGCTGGAAGTCCAAGTTCGAGGTGCTAACAGATTTTGTGTCTGGTGAGGACCTACTCTCTGGTTCATAGATGGTCATCTTTTCTCTGTGTCCTTACATGGCAGAAGGGGTGAGGGGGCTCTCTGGGGTGTTTTTTTTTATAAGGGCTCTAATGCTATTTGGGAGGGCTGCACCATTATGACCTAATCACGTCCCAAAGGCCCCACTGCCAAATACCCTCACATTGGGGATATGGTGGCAACACATGAATTCTAAGGGAACATAAATACCCCCCAGTTTTCACATACATAATGTCCTCAGCTGGTAATTATTTTATCTTATGAAGGAACACAGCTATTGTTGAGTAGAGTAGTCTCTAATGAAAATAAGGTTTTTTTGTTTGTTTCTGTTTCTGTTTTGTTTTGTTTTGAGATGAAGTCTCGCTCTGTCACTCAGGCTGCAGTGTAGTGGCATGATCTTGGCCCGCTGCAGCCTCCTCCCCCTGGGTTCAAGCAATTCTCATGCCTCAGCCTCCTTAGTAGCTGGGACTACAGGCACACACCACCACACCCGGCAAATTTTTGTATTTCTAATAGAGATGGGGTTTCACCATGTTGGCCAGGCTGGTCTCAAACTCCTGACCTCAGGTGTTTCACCCACTTTGGCCTTCCAAAGTGCTGGAATTACAGGTGTGAGCCACTACGCTTGGCTGTAAACAATAATTTAATAAAAGATTTGCCCTTAAGAAAAGTTAGGTAAAGTTTAAAAAAGGCAAAATATTGAATTTTAGCTATTTATAAAATAGCATTTTATACCTTGAGAGTAGATCAACTAAAACAGCTTTACTATGTGCTTTCAACTATCTTAAATTGTTTTGTTAAACTATTCTTAAAGTACAGAATTATACTTTATTTTCTGGTTTTGAATTGTTCCCTCTACCAACTGATGTTTGACTTATTCCAGTCACAGTGGATTTGACTTTGTGTATAAACTTAAGGATCTTTGCTATAATTTTCTCAGTCATGTTTGTGATTTTTTTCCCCTTGATTTCCTGGGAATAGAGGCCTCACAAAGAAATAGTTGACTTCTCTGATGGGGGATTTTTGCTTCAAAAATGTTTAAGTCCTTTTTTTTTTTTTGCTTCAAAAATGTTTAAGTCCCTTTTTTTTTTTGACGTAGGGTCTCTCTCTGTCACCCAGGCTGGAGTGCAGTGGCATGATCGAGGCTCACTGCCTTCACTGTGACTCTGTCTCTCCCCTTCTGTCTGTATCAAACCATGCTTTGCTTTTCTCCTGTGAAGAATACATTGGTTCCACCTGAATAATGCAGGATAGCATCCTTTCAAAATCCTTAATTTCACATCTGCAAAATCTTCTCTTGTTGTGTTTTTTGCTATCTAAGGTAACATTCACCAGTTTCAAAAACCAGGGAATTAATATCTCAGGAGTCATCATTCAGTTCTCAGTGGAATTAAGCCACATGACAACATTAATTAATGTAGATTTATTAGTTAATGCAGATTAGTGGGTTGTCCTCCCTCATCTAGCCCACTTATTTATTTCCTCATAATGTTTCCTGGGATCATCTCCCAAAGAAGCCACTCCTACCTAAATCTTTGTCTTGGAGTTCGCTTTTAGGAGAAGCAAGACCAATGTAATATCATAAAGAGTGATTTCAAATCTCCTTTCTCAGTAATTGGTGAGTAAAACAAAAAATCTTAGTAAGAATAAACAATATTTGAATGATTCAATTAGCTAGATTCGATGGATTTGTATTATAATAGCTAATACTTATATAACATCTAATATTCACTAGGCATTTAACAGATATGCTAACAGAAGCTCAGAGAGGTTAAAGTAATTTGTCCAAAATCACAGAGCTGGTAAATGTGGGAGTTATGATTTAGAGTCTGTGTCTTAATCATTTTCCTGTATTGTTTCTCAGAAACCACAATCCTTGCACAAACAATTACTGTACAAACAGTTTCAGAACACAAGGGACATTTACAAAGATTGATTATCTACTAAGTTGAAATGAAGACCCAATAAACTCCAAGAATCAATACTAAAAGAACATGTTCTGGAACCAAAATGGATTAGAGAAACAAGTTACAAACAAATTCAAAGGCTCTCATAGTTTGCGAGACACACACAAACGAAACTACCACACTTCTCATTCATTTATGGTAAAGAGAAAAATGTCCTATATGTAATTAGAAAATACCTGTAGCCTAATGATGATAAAAGCTGTGCACATTAAACGTTACAAGATGTGGCTAAATTGGCATTTGTTTAGAAATTTAAATTTCTAAAACAGAAAAATAGACCAAGAAAGCACTGGAGGATTTTATATTCCAGTTTTTATAAACAGAATAAGAGCTAGAAACAGAAAGAACTAGGAACAAAATATCCATTTGAGGATATGGATAGGACATTAATACTGGAATAAAAAAATCTGCCAGGCATAAGAAGATAGCTATTAGGAGGTAAGAAAGTTTCCTTCAACTATGCTGTTCTTAGTGTTGGTTAATCAGGAGCTTCCAGAGGAAGGTAAACATCCTCTATTTCATAGATGATAAACAGGAACATAAGCACTAGATAATGTACATTTTGGGAGGCTGAGGCGGGTGGATCACAAGGTCAGGAGATTGAGACCATCCTGGCTAACACGGTGAAACCCCGTCTCTACTAAAAATACAAAAAAATTAGCCGGGCGAGGTGGCGGCGCCTGTAGTCCCAGCGACTCGGGAGGCTGAGGCAGGAGAATGGCGGGAACCCGGGAGGCGGAGCTTGCAGTGAGCCGAGATCGCGCCACTCACTCTAGCCTGGGCGACAGAGCGAGACTCCATCTCAAAAGAAACAAAACAAAACAAAACAAAAAACTAGATAATGTATCAGAGTCTATTATTGAACCAGTGGAAAGAAATACCCAGGACAGAGTCTATTGTTGAACCAGTGGAAAGAAATACTTAGGACAGCAGGTGATTTCTCCCAGGGCTGTGGATCGAGGGCTATGAAGACCTGGTGTGACCACTGAGACCTGGGCTTGGTTTCTGGATGAAGAGCTGGACAGTGGAGGGTACCAAGGACCATCAGACTTGCTGACTGCTTTCTAATTTTTCTGTTTTCCTGATACTGGTGGGCACAACTGATGCTTCCAGAATAAATCAGACAAAAAGCTGAAGGGCAACT